GATATGTTTAAATTTAAGAGATCTGCGATTATTTAGGGAGGAGGGGCATTTTTTTGTTTTTTCATTTAATAATTTTCTATAGTAAGATGTAATTTTATTACATTAATTATGTATAGAAGGTTCTAAAATCCGAGTCCAGAGAAACCAGAGGCGTAGCGACCCTTGCCGGCACCCAGGGACAAACTTTCAATTTGGCGCCCCCCCCCCCCCTCCCCCCCCCCCCATTTATTTTTTACATGTATAATACAAAACTGCAGCTAAAATGAGCTTTTAGAATAGACGCCCTCGGTAGAAAACCCACTTCACAATAAAAATGACCTGCTTTTGTGTTCATCAAAACCACCCCCTCCCCCGTCCCATCCCCTTCATGTCCACTACTCACTCAGTATTTGTTTCCCGACACCCCCTCCATGCCCCTCCCTCGCCCTAAGATATATGTACCCCCCTACCCCCCTTGCTACGCCTCTGAGAGAAACGTCATTAACTGAAACAAACATGTATGTAAAAATCTATAAAACGAGCACATTGATGAAATGGTGCCACTGTGGGTCTAAACAGTTTGAGAACCTCTCGACGAAGAAATGCATGGCTGTGAATCCACCCCCACCCCACACTTCCATCCCCTTGAATCAGACACTTGTAGTGTTCTTTTAACAAGCTCCGTCTCAGAGCGCCCCGACAGTTTCTGTCAAATTAACACGCTCCAGTGAACAGGTGACTGGATGCCAAAACTGTTCCATCCGGTCCGTGACGTCATGTTAGCAGCGAGAGTTGTCTGAGCTTTGGGTCACACAAAATGGCAGATGTAAACACTGCCTGCGCATGCGTCGTGCAGATTTTTTTTTTTTTAAATGGGATAATCATTATGCATTATTAATGGAACAACCGTGGTAAATTAATAATGAAGCGTATAGGGAAGTGTAATTTGATATAATTAACTGGAGTAATAATATTTTAAAAAATGCCTTAATAAAATTAAATCAAATAAGAAAGCTAAGACCGAGTTTAAGTGTAGTTTCTATCACGCATCTGCCTCCTCCCCTCCACCTCCCCCACCCACAGACGAAATAGAAAAATACACTTAAATAGATATGTTTTTAAACATGTGTCCTCCCCTCACCCCCGAAGTTTTAAGCCCCCCCCCCCCCCCCCCCCACCTGGAGAAAAATGTCTGAAAGAAATCGATCGTGCTTTGGGTGTATCAGTGCCATGTTCACGACGCAGGTACGTGGTTACATAAGCATTTTGTCACAACGGTGACAAAAACGGTTTTATAATTGGGTTATCAAATCTAATAGAGAAGTAGAATGCAATTTTTAAAAAAAGCACTTACACAATTATAATCTTTTTTTTTAAAAGCGTGTATTGATATTTTGTGATGCTGTTCTACAACAGTACTATGTCACCTTGTCCTTAAAGACGTTACAAAAACTTATGTAAACAACGGCGATCCGTGGTCCAGTACTGATGGGGAAGGGGGGGGGGGGAGGGGGAGGCACGTCACGTGAAAATCTCCGCCAGGATCCGCTTGTCAATATGGACAGGATCGTCCACACAAATAATAACTCGGCCTTAAGCTCGTCAATTTAGGAACTATTGAAAAACGGTTCGAGAAATTTTCTCGCGTATTCTTATAACCAAAACAAAAATTTGACAAGTCATTCGTATGTATTTTTCGGTTGTAAACTTTACACTTTTATTCTAGTTATGTAATTCGTGAGTTGTGTTTATGTCGTATGTCTGTTTATACAAGTCATAGGCAGGGGTGTTGCCGTGTTTTCTTATTAGGAGTAACGCAGCGTGCATAGAAAGGCGCCGATACTTCATTCTAGTTTGATTCGCAATCAGCCAGACTTTTAAATGTTTTAATTGAATGACGATATTCGCTTAGATAGGCGCCACTGTCATTATAAATCACTCAGAGGGAGCGATTACACCGCTCTCATTACAATTATTACTATGATTTTAAAGAGTTCAAGACTCTCTAGACGATGAATATTATATATGTGATTCTCCCCTCTCTAACCCAAATGATAATTCGAAAACATTTTTTTATGCGTACCTGCTAATCTCCAAACGATAAAAACAAAAGCAATTTTTAAATTTAAGAAAACGCTTAACGATTCAAACTATGTCCAGAGAAAATATTGATAATTTAAGTCATGAAAATGAACACAAAATATCATTAACTAGCAGGCCTAAACCCCCTTATCTAGATGTACATTGATACCTTTCAAATAACTGTAAGACTATCTACACAATAATTTTTTTAGTATCACCAAAGGCTATGACAGGTAATAAAACAACAGTTACCTTCGTGTTACGATCTTCAAGCTTTACCTGTTGAAGAGGTTGCACTTTATTTGCTTATGAGTGTACGTAGGATCAAGTACATGTTGTCACATGAAGTGCTTGCAAGGGGTCATTGTTTTTTTTAATCGTATTGTATGGAATAGGGGTGATATAGATATTACTATAAAGCACTGCATAAGGTTGTGGTTTTAATCCGTATTTTGCATTATATAATTTTTTTTCTGATTTGTTTGTAATTCGCCTTTAAAAGACGTTAAATTCACACCATTTCCCAAGCTAAATCTTGCCATTTTATCACCACCGCCTCTATATTTTCTCTCTTTTATTTTAAACCCGCCCATCAAGTTCACCAAGGTCACAAACTCGTAACTCAGATCCTATCTTCTCGAGGCTGGCCTCGAGTTGGAAATTAAATTACAATTCACGTCACAGTTCCGGTTTTTTGGAACAAGTTCGCTTTAAGCAGCTCTAACACTATTGGACCGAAATTGAATTACTGGTTCGAAAACAACCACGCAAACAACCACCCCCACCCTCTTCCCCTAGTCAGATTCTCATTTAGTTGCAGGGGTACCCTGCAGTAGTGTTCAAATTGAAATGTAAATTGTCTAATTCGTTTCTTAACAAGAACCACTCCCGTTCAAGTGATGGCCCGTTCGAAGTGCTGAAAGTGAAAACTGATGTAAAATTTCAGTCAATTTAAAAATAATTGTATACCAGGCTTAAGGATAGTCTTGTAAAATGAAAATGAATCAGACAAACCATTGTTTAAAAAAATATATTTATTTTTAGACCTAGCGATCCATTTGGCAGATAAAGTAGAGTTCATATGTTTCTTGACCTCAGCATATGAAATGGATGGTGTGGGCAGCACTATCCCCAGCCACCTTTATTTTCGCCATCGTAAGTCAGGTACCCATCAGAGCTGAGTGGACTCATGGACGTCCTACAGTCACACCTTATAACCGGGACCCGAACACGTGACCTTCGTCGTCCCACAAACAAACCATCATTGAAATCAAGAAATCAGAGACTGCGGGTGGTATTAGAAATGGGTGGATTTTTTATACCAGTGTCCGATAATAGAATCTTCTTTAAAAATGGTGTTATGTTACTGGTCGTTAACTAAACTAAATGCACATATGGCTTGCTAATCGGGGTAAAGTGAATGCTAACCCTTAACTCAACTCTAGTCCTACCATAAACCTAACACTGATTTCTAACCATAAAACTAGTTAAGTTTACAGTACTACTAACAACTTAAAAAAATTTTTTTGGAAAGGTCTACTATAAGACATCGGTATCTTTAATCATCAGAATTATTTTAAGTCTATATGGTAATATTTCAGTATCATATTGCGTGTACTACAGGGATTAAGTTCCAAACTTCGGCGCCCATTTCAGCGTCTTAATACCGCATCCCAGGTACACAATTTATATAACTAAGTGTAGCTAGGGGAGGTCACCCCCCCCCCTCATCTTTAGTTCCTCTGAACGCATTCTTGAATTTGTATGGGGATGTTGAAATAAGGTTTAGTGTATTACGCCCGCTAGAGTGCAAATCAACAATAAAATTTGAAAAGGATAGTTTCTATTAGTGAATAGGCCTACACACCATTAAATATACTAAATGGGCGTAACATAAACACACACTAGTTGACATCAGGTGGGGGAGGATTTTTTTTTCAAGTCTCTGATAATAGAATCTACTTTAAAAATTAAATGTTTAGATACTGTTAGTTAACTGAAATACACACACAGGGTAATCCTAACCATAACCCTACCCCATTCCTACCATACGCTTATTCCTAATTTCTAGCCATAAAACTAATCAAGATTACAATACTACTAACAACCTAACACACCTATTTTCGGATGAGTCTATTATCGGACATGATCCGAAATGAGTTTCAATGTAGTAAGTTCACTTGAGTAAATATTATATCCCCAAGAACATTTAAAAAGGTCAATTGGTATTCGTGAATACGTCCACACACCATTACGAAACAGGTCCACACACCATTACGAAACAGGCCAACACACCATTACGAAACAGTCAGCACACCATTACGAAACAGTCAGCATACCATTACGAAACAGGCCAACACACCATTACGAAACAGTTCAACACACCATTACGAAACAGGTCCATACACCATTTCGAAACAGGCCAACACACCATTACGAAACAGGTCCACACACCATTACGAAACAGTCAGAACACCATTACGAAACAGGTCCACACACCATTTCGAAACAGTCAACACACCATTACGAAACAGGTCCATACACCATTACGAAACAGTCAATACACCATTACGAAACACGTCAACACACCATTACAAAACTGACGTGACAGGAACACACACAAACAGACGTACACAGCAAACAGAGCCTTCGAGAACGGGACTCAAACACACTATCGACCTCACCAATCACCCCCCACTGCATTCCCCCTTTTTTAATCCGGGGATTATAAACAAAATAGGCCGACGCTCCGAGCTGTAGGGCTGTTTGCTGATTGGACAAAAGATCCATTCACAGCTCCGTGAGAAATGTTTTCGAGTGCGGTGATTTAAAAAAAAAATTCTAGTTCCAAGTTCAGTGAGGAAATTCTTGGGATTGACATCCAGTTATAGACCGAGCCGTAAGGCGAGGGAGATTATCCAACAGGCATTCAGTGTGAAGTTATTTTTAATTTGCAATAGCAGGTTCAAGGGAGAGAAGTATTTGTATAGTCAAACATTGCATGCATGGCCGAGTCTGGTATGTTTTTTAGTGTTGTTTGATTCTCTGATTTAATGTTGGTGGTGCAGACCGTATGTTCGAAACAATTTTTATAAACGTCTATGCAGGAGATTTTTTGTTTGTTTAATGAGTCTTAGAGTTAAAGAGGATTATATAAAGATTAACAAAAATAAATACCGTATTAAAAATGACACGTCAAAGGCCAATTATTCTTTTTTAATATTTCAAGAATCTATTTTATTTATTCGTTTAGTTCCGTAATGCTCAAGTTCAAGACTTCATATAAATGGTAATTGCAGGACATAAAAATGGATTTCATTTGCTCTCTACTTCTTCAAGTACGATGCTCGGCTAGTTAAGGCTAGTTTGGCATTGAAACGTTTGCGGGGGGGGGGGGGGGGTGGACGGAATGGAAGGGGTGGATACAAAATTAAAATATTTAAAATATTTCTTCCTGCAAGTTTAGTTAGCACAATGGCTAGTGGGGAAATATGTATAGTTTTATGAACGTACCTTACAGGGTTAGGGTAAAACTGATACACACTTTCATATTATAGATTTATATAGTTTATCAGCATACAAACACAAATAGAGGCTGCTTATTCGATACGTTGAATCTTAGATGTTTTAAATTTGACACTTATTTTTAAAAAGTTACAATACAGCCTCGTTTAAAATACTATGTAGCCGCACTTTGATATTCTAGATTCTAGTACAACATAGCTTTGATACACTAGTATAAGTTCGCTTCGTTATACTAATACCAAGCAGCCTCGCTTTGATATGCCAGGACAGCAGTTTTGATATAATAGGACAACCTCTATTTAATACAATATACAGCCAGAGGCGTAGCAAGGGGGGGGGGGCGGGGGGGGGACATATGTCCCCGGGCGCCGACCTTAGGGGGGCGCCAAATTGAAAGTTTGAGGGGGGGGTGCAAATCGAAAGTTCGAGGGGGGGGGGGGGCGCAAATCGAAAGTTTGTTTCCGGGCGCCGGGAGGGGTCGCTACGCCTCTGTATACAGCCTAGCTTTAATATAGACCAGCCTCGCTTTGATCTAAGAGACCAGGCTCGCTTTGCTATACATGGCCAGCCTCGCTTTGATATAAGACTCCGAGAAAGAGGCTTCGTGTTACGTTCATCCCCTCAGTGCCCCTTCTTTCATTAGCGACGTGCAAAGCTCGCCACATTCTGTTTGAAGTAAATTACGCTTTTGTTCACGGGTCAAGTTAATTCCCGTTAATTACGGTGGGGAATGAACCCGGTCTTTATGGCAAGGATACATCGCGGGCAGCTTATCAAAGGTGAAAATCAGCGTGGTTTAATTTACCAGCGGTCCGCGGGTCACACGTGGTCATCAATGTTTTCTCAAAAATTATTTTTAAAAAAATATTTTTCTACGATTGGAGTTACAGTTTTTAACACTATACAATAAATTTAGACTGTAAATTTAAAAGCATAAGTAAGGTCTAAAAATTATTTAAATAAATTAATAGTGTTGATTAATATTGAAATTAAGGACTCTTTTATGCTACAAACATGATGGAAATTATAACAGCAATTATGAGAAAATATTTTCTAATGTAATATTTATTGCTCAACTTTAGAAAAATAAAAGTTCCTAATTTATTTGAAAAAAGTGTTAAATATTTTCAAAATTCTAGTTCCGGCTTGCTTAAAGCTCGACTAAATTTCCACGTATGAACTTTTCATAATGTCAATAGACATACGTAGTGTAAATAACTTTTTAACTACTCGCTAGAAATGGGAGCCTTTGGTTAAGATTCCCCTACATAAGCGTAAACCCACGGCTAGAAACTACTTCTCTTGACACACAACCATAATCAAACACTCGACACACGGTTCGTCCATAGACAGTAGTTTTTTTTATGTACAGGGAGGAAACTGTGGCACTGAGTTACCTGAAATAAACTCGTACGAGAGTCAACTAATAACGAGCAAATGTAAACATTCGATAAGAACCTCTACCACTTTTGGTGACATTGATGGTAAACGGTTGTAAAGAAAAAAAAATATACGTCGATTAGGTTTGTAAAGTACGAATGAAAAAAAAATGTATTTAAAAAGTAATCCTTTCGTTTTATGTGCGTAGCCGTACGTGTATAACCCACCTGACCAAGCCTTCATTCATTGGTCCGATCTAGCGATTCATACGCCCACGAGTTAGCTTACGTGAGAAGAAACAAAAAAAAAACCAGTCGGTGCACCTTTTAACATCATTAACTGTTTGCACGTATCTATACACACACATTGGAATTCTAGTTGAATGGGGATATGTTCAATGTGATAAATGCTTGTCTAGCCGGGTCCCGAACCTGTTCCCGGTGATGGGAGTGGTCTGTTTCCTCATTCTTCAAATAGGAAGTTTACAGAAACCTGTGTGGTGCATACAATGTGAAAGCTCACCTTCCCACTCCCTTCTGTAACTCTCACTCCTCTTTTCCTTCATCCACTACCATCAGCTCTACCACTCCCATCACCCACCCTTCCCCTACTACCATTTTCAGTCAATCCTATTCACATTCATCATCACCACCTTCTGTATGTGCATATTTCACCAACCTGCAACGGCAGCATTATTTTACTCTCATGTTACACCTCCCTCAACCACACCCCGATATCAAATGTTCACTACGTTACTACTATCATTCTTCTATTCTACCCCCAAAGCCACCACGCCCATCCACCCTTACTCCAACACCCTCCACCCTAACGCTTACACCCTCCTCCCCTAAACTCATGCATACTACCACAAGCTGACGCCCCTCCCATCCCCTAACATACTACACCCTAACCCAAACAACCCCCAGGACTCGAACACACTCGCCCTTCTTACGCTACCCCCCCCCCCCCCCCCATTAACCCTAATACTCTGCCCTACCCCTACCGACCATTATATCTCCATAATTTCCCTTCACTTTTCATCCTGCCTTAAAATTCTATACTCGAACAACCTTATCACATATCCAACAATGTCTGAATATAACACCTCACACTGGTCCTTACGCAATATCGGCAGTTTTTTAAGGCGTTTCCCCACCCACTATGATCATTCAGCTAATACTCCACAAATATTTCAGTTGCGTGACCCTGCAATAGGAGGGTCTTCTTATAGCCTAGTCATCTGATACTTCATGCAAACACTCATATATATGGGCAGATACATTATATATATATATATATATATATATATATATATATATATATATATATATATATATATATATATATATATATATGTAACAAATTATGTTTACACACACACATATTTGTATATCATGTGTGGCATATATATATATATATATATATATATATATATATATATATATATATATATATATATACATATATATATATATATATATATATATATATATATATTATACCAACACACATATATGTGTGTGTGTATGTACGTTTAGTGTTACTTCGTATAACACATATTATTTACGTTTAACCATATTTATGTTGGATTTGTTCACAAACTGATAGCAAATTCAGGTCAATTTGATATGGTCGACAAACATATAATATTAATGCACAGTCATTCCTAACATTTTGATTATGTCTTCATTATTTACCCTTATCAAGTTCCACAGCCAAGACACCGTACGAAATATTAACTTCTAAAAAAAAAATTTGTCCCCGTAGCTACCCTTCCCCAGACACCCTGTTTAAAAGCTAATCCCTCAGTAAACATCACCTTTTGGGTAGCCAATATTTATTTTTTGAAAACACGCGTGTAATATAAGTAGTCGTACGACAATACCACTCGAGCCTAATTTGTTTTCGCCACTTGGCTCGGTTAGTGCTCCCGTCGTGCGGCCTTACCCCCCCCCTACCTCTCGTGACGACAATAGCCTTAATGTCATGCTTATTTACAAACCCTCGGGGAAGTCGAAGTCAACTGTTGACTTGATGAACAGAAACCCTTTCATCCTCATAACAAGGGTAATGCGTTTTTAAATGTTTTAAGTGACCGTCGAATTTACCCCCCCCCCCCCTTCATTTCTCCACTTCCACCCACATTTATACTACACCGGAGAAGGTTGTTACTGGGGTACAGGTAAAACGAAAATGGTTTACCTGTTTTCTCGTGCGTTTTTTTTTTTTTTTTTTTTTTTGTACGGTCTTGTCGGGTTAATTCTTGTGATAGACGTTTTAATAGCGCCGTAAACGGTGCGGGGTTGTTTTGTTAAAATTTGATCAGGTTTATCTTAGCTCGAGTTAAAGTTTTGTTTTTCTCGAGTTAGAATTTAACGCTTAGAGTTGAGACGTGTTTCTTTCAAGGTAAAGTTTTTGTAACCTCAACTTGCATAGCATCCACCGTTCTTATAAAGCGCTTACAACACAACAGAAAATTAATGCTAAATTGGTATAAAAATTATGTTGTTAAATAATTAATACACGAATACACGCAGTCAATAGCAAGGAAGACTCGCACTTTAATTATATACAACATACTATAATTATATGGGCCGACTTATTATATGGACGCTACTTTATTTTATATACTTAATTTAAGCATGAAGCCCGGGTCTGAACCCCCCTCCCCCACCCCAACTCTCCCCTTTTTACGCACCACCTAGCTACGCCACTAGATAAACATGTCAAACTTGTCATAAATTTTTAATATTTTTTTTTTACTTCCGCGATACTACGATGCCGACTCACTAATCCATTTAATGATTTACACCAGGGATCTCCAAACTTTTAAGACCGAGGGCCGCATTGACTATCAAATATCAGTTCGGGGGCCAGAGTTTCTTCAAGGCATATCCTCGGTGTTATGGAGCCCTCCCCCCCCCCCCCCCAAAAAAAAAAACCGTCAACCGCCCCACCCCCCCACTTAACAAAATATAGTTTATATAGAAATATATACAAATTTCAAGTTCGCACCCCTCCCTCCGATAAAAAAAAATCTAAATGAATTACTGTCCAAGTTATAATCAGCAAATGTTTTCTTTAACTCAATGAATATATCCTCTCCGGCAAAAAGATCTCCGCGGGCCGGATGAGAGGACCTTGCGGGCCGCATCCGGCCCGCGGGCCGTAGTTTGGAGACCCCTGATCTACACAATTATAAAGACAGCTCTAAAAAAATATTAAATCCAGTATTCCACCATTTATTTAATGTAAAGTGTGGGTAGTTTATGCGACAGTGTCACGCAATAATTCCTTCTTCAAAATTGACGTAAACAGAGTTTCTTCCATGAAAATAGTCTACCGCCCCCTGAACGAAATGGAATTTATATAGAAAATATATACATTTAACAGTGTCCGCCCCCCTCCCTCGAAGCAAGTCTACCGCCCCCCCCCCCCCTCCCCCTATAATTTCAAGTGCCCCCCACCCCCCCCCCCCCCCCCCCGGAGAAATAAGTCTGGAAGAAACACTGGACGTAAAACAGCCACTTGCCGATGCATTTATTTCACGTTAAAGAATTAATCAACGGCAACTGGTCGGTTGTTACTGTAACACTTTTCGTCGCGTGATTCAGCGAGGGTCTCCGCCGAGATACCCTCTCCCTCACCGCCCACGAAAGGTCAAACGAGAACGCAAATTTGAACATCCCCCGTGTCCAATCGCCCTCGCTGTAGGCGAGAGAGATTTTTTCAATAGTCGGAAAGAAGTCGAGCAAGTGTTGAATAACGCCGTATCGATTCCACGGCGCGCGCTCTAACTCCACTGGCCCCCTATTTTTTCTCGCTGCCGGGTCAGACCGTGTCTAATTTTAACTTCCGAGGGGTTCGCGTTAAATAAACCAGCTACCTGTAACTCAATTTTTTTTTTTAAGAAAAAAAAAATCAACTTCTTCGTTTAATCTTTGCAGATGAAATTCATGAAATATTCGTGAGATTGGATTACACAACGGAGTCTAAATTCTGCCTTCTAAATGTGGAAATAGCACAGCTCAAAAGAAATATTAATATTACGGGTGTTTGTGTTTGTGAATAGCCTCCCTTGGAGTGGATGACTTCCCCTGCATGGATTGTGTAACGTGAAGCAAGAGAATTAATTCACTGTGTTCACACATTGGACACCGGATGTTTTGATTTTATCCCTACAAATTCGACACTTGTTGTTAAAGGATTTACATTCTCTGTTGTTTTCTTTGGATTTACAGTTAGGTAAGTCATTAACTAATTAACAATACATTTTTTTTGTCTAAGCTTAGCCTGATTCACAAACACAAATGTATTACATTGTCGTAGGAATTTATTGATAATTGATTTGTTTGTAAAAAAATATTCTAGGTTAATGTTAAGCTTAACTTACTTTTTGTGCGTATACTACTAACTAGATTCTAGATCTCGAATCTAGTATATTACTACTTTTAGACATGCCGGTCTTATAGGCCTACTAAATTTTGTTGGGTAATTTTTTAAAGCATTACTGTCTACGATTAAGACTTCAGGGGAGGATTGTAGTTGTAGTAACCTTAAACTCGGACGTTGATTACACATAAACTCTGACACTGTCTACTAAACTAACTACCTGTTCACTGTTAGTGTTAGCTCTAATACTTAAAAACTAGTCTACCAGTAAACACAACTATCTAACTACTCCTTAACACTAATACTTTCTAATTATCTCTAAAACACTACGATCTAACTATCCGTAGACGCTCACACTAACTTACATCAAAACAATAGAATTTAACTTGTAGAACATGCATTAACCCTAACCGTATTCAAATATCAAGTATCACTAATACGACATGTTAAAATTTTAAACTTAAATTGCAAACGAAACCCGAGAATAGCAATTTTCTTACTGACGAGAGCCCTCGGTTGCAAAATCTAATGCTTGTATACAAAAAATCTATACAGTATTTTATCGTAGTCAGAACCTCTCTCATCTCCTGCGATCGACCTTTTGCCGCCCCCCCCCCCCCCCAAAAAAAAAAAGAGAGAGATGGGAATCCTGTATAGAAAAAAAAGTAGGGATGGGAATCCTGTATAGATGAATAATTTCCACTTGTCGATTCCACCGCTGATTTAGACGCCACTTTAAGCTGGATAGCTCTCTGGTTATTTGTAAGGATATGTACACAGAGAAAAAAAATGTACATCGAACCTAGAGGTCAGGAATTATTTTTTTTACATTGAACCTAGAGGTCAGAGTTTATGGGAATCTTTCTCCAAACCATTGCCAGAAAAAAAAGACTTTTTCGGTAAATGGAATGTTACTGTGAACTAGTAGGCTATTGATGTTTTTTTTTTTTTTTGTTTTTTTTTTTTTAAATAAAGTTACTGCAAGCTTATACGTTATGACAAATAATAGGATTATGTTTAGCGCTTGAATTTATCAAATTGATTTAGTCATAATAACTTAACAGTAAACAGGTAAAACCAAAGTTCCTTTTTTCAAACACTTGTTTCTGTGAATTCGGCATATGAAGGGATACCCTGTACCCAGCCGCCTTTATTTAGTTAGGTACCCATCAGAGCTGGATGGACTTAAGTGACGTTCTACTGACCTGAAACTGGATTCGAACTCGAGACTTAAGCAATCTAGCGCTCAACCGCTAGGCCACCTCGTCCCACAAACTTAAAAGTATCACACCCTTTTTTTGGAAGAATTCCTTATTCAGCTCCCCTGTGAAAATTACCACGATTCGAAACATAAATGTTAAAATCTGAAAAATGTTTCAAATATAGGTTAGAATAATAAAAGTGAAATGTTATTCATTAGTGGGTTGGGCGCCATTGTTTGCATTCTGCTGAAGCACAAAATATACACTCTGAAGGGAATTCTACAACACTTGTTTGTGCATTTAAGTGCGCACATCTTGTAAACTCGACGCGAATTTTTCTTCTATGTATACAGTCTCGCCGATCTCCTTTGAAGTTTCCTATTTAGGGAGCTGGCAGTAGCGAGGAGTGCGCACGGAATTGGTGCGCAAATTAACTTGACGCCCGCGAGAAAACATTCGACTACTCTTTAGCAATCCTTTTTAAGGAGAGTTTCACTTTTTTTTTAATGCTGGGTAAAATTAATGCCCTTGCCATTGAACACGTATTCAACTGAATGGAAATAAACTGGACCATTTTTTTGTAGATCTGTATAACTTTGTGAAATTAAACATGGTTTTTGTATTTTTACAGCAGAAAGGAAAATAAAAAGTGTGTATAAGTATGTATACTTTTAAGGAAAAAAATTATGTGTATATGCATGTATGAATATCTATAGACTGTAGATAATATAAAAGAATATATTATGCAACAGCATTTTAATTCAAATAGAACCTTAAACATAAATAGGCGTTGAATTTTAAACATGTACATGTTAATTATATGTGGGTGTTAAATTTTAAATCTTGATATGTAAAATATAAGTGGGTGTGACATTTTAAACCTGTATAGATAAAAACTTGTCATCGTGTGATTTCTCCAAGTGACGATCTGGATTTACTATCCCAACTGTAAAAACATGGCGCCGATCTTCTGATCTAGTGACTACGACCTAGAGTCCCCTCCCTAATCCTATTTGTTTCATCAACCGGACAAACCCTGGCGATGTTGAGTGTGTGTGTGTGTGTGGATGTGTGGATGTGAGAAATTACAATATATCGGAACAAGTAACTATACCCCCTCCCCTCCCACCCACCACCCCCCCCCCCCCCCCCCACACACACACAGACACACACATCCCTCCCTCTCAGTGAGATTAGTTTTGCAGCGTTTCTACAGTTGGTGCCGTTGATTGTCTTAAAACATTTCTAAAAGCCTGTGTCCTTTGCTTGTCCTCCAGTAATCCTTAAAGCTTTAGTCATTCAGTGTATTCACTCTGTAGTAAAGTCTGTATCATTGAACCTCCTCAAGCGATCCTAATGATTGTGCTATTGGATGTTTTGGCTGACACAATATCAAAAAAATATTTATCATAAAACGATCACAACGAATATTAATATTAGCTATAGATTCAATCAAGCTGTTCTTGGCCCCTAACTTTCTGAAGTCGTTAGACGTATCCAGGTCAGCCTGACCCTAAATCCACCACCGGATGACCGTGTAATCTAACTATGCTGCATTAATTAACGTATCCACGTTTTAGATTAAACCGATGAGAAGTGTAAAAAAAAAACAACCTCCAAGTTTTAAAACATTCTACGCTTTGTTAGAGAAATATAATAGACAGACGCTAAATTAAAAAAAAAAAGTAACCCCGTAACGTTTTGATTGAGAACGATTCTATAACAAAACTTTAGCTTTATATTTTTAAAAATTATATTATATAAGGTTGAATATTTGTTATAGAATCGTCACACCAAGTACAAGGCTATGTCTGTAACACAACTCAAGCATGACGAACAGCAAAAGGTGTATTACATTACATCACCTGAAGGTCGTTATTGTAAGATTTATAGACGTTGATGTCTCTTTCACCCCTCCCCACCCAACCCCTACATCCTATTTGTATGTGGGATGTCGAGTTCACGGTAAAGAAAATCATAACTCAGGTGTCGGGTTCCTATCTTGACAATGATCTTATTGTGTGTGTGTGCCCAACAGAAATGTATCATTGTCGTGATGGATTCCAACTTGTCAAAGTGAACTTCTTTCTTATGGGGTTGTGGATGTCTCGAAAAGTGGATCTGGGGGTGAGGTGGAGTGGGGTGGAGAAGGTACTGGAAAAATCCATAAGGTTTTTGTTATCATCCATTTTTCTTGCTACCCAACTTAAATCGATTGGAAATTGAAAATTTAAAAAAAAAATTGAGTATCCTTTCAGACCGGATAACCCGTTGGGCAGATGAAGTAGAGTTTATACGTTTTGATAATCTCGGCATATGAAGGGATAGTGTGATCATCCCTTTGCTCGGTACGCAAACCCTAGTGTCCTATTATCATGTCAGAAACACCAGGGAACTAACATCAGGTAATAGAAAAACATAATGGTACATTTCTCCAGATGATAGAAATACACTGGAAATTCTGTCAGGTAATAGAAACACGAGGGACCTTTTGTCAGGTAGTAATAACACAGAGACCTTCTGTCAGTTAATAGAAATACAAGAGACCTTTAGTCAGAACTCACAAACGCTAAAAATACATATTTCATATTCTCAGTACGTGATTTGACGAAATATATCTACATCTATAGCCTAATCATCAACCGATACCAATACGTAAAGTGTGATTCCTCCCCACTTCCTCCCCGCCCCTAATTTATCTCATTTGTAGTAAAGGACCTAGTTTCGCCAATATCTTGCTTTGATTAATGTGTAGGAGGGGGCTGAGGTCATATGATACCGCCAATCATTTTTATTTACAAAAAGAAGTAATAATTTACTCTGGAATATATAGAAAAGACATGAAGTAGACAGGCGTATTGATAAGTGACGGGTAAATTAAAAAATCAAATTCGTCAAGAGATTAATTCTGCACGTGTCGAATCTTCTCTTTAGCTTTTGAGTACTCTCCACGGACTTAATGCCATCAAAGCTTAGGGTTGTACTTTAATGCTCTAGTCAATTAACTCAATGATGTTTTGAATATGGTATCAGTGCTGCCTTCCCTAGTTTATGAATGACAACTGAGATTATGTTCAATATCAACTTCAGATAGTGCCACGATAATAGGATTTTATTTTTTAAAAGGGTGTGTCAGGTTACTGGGGGTAAATTATAATTTGCTAACGTTAATGCAAACTTATCCCAAACTCAAATCTTATCCCAACTATTACTACAACCCTAACCCAAATCCTATCCCAACTATTACTACAACAGCCATAGCCCCAATCCTAATGGTACTATAACCTTAGTCCTAACTCTAATTCTGGTCCAAACTAGCAACACAAATACGCTGAAAATTAAATATCAATTTTTACATCAGCCGTTACATGAAATGAGTATAGGTGCAGATATTTATTTTTCTTAAGAGCAAGCAACCCTTGCTATGCCACTTTAATTTCTGTGTATCGACTTTTGAGAAATAGTATGTTAACTTCATCGTATTAGTCTGGATACCGATTTGTTCAAACTTTAGTTGGTAATTAGAATCCCTGTAAAAAACTTGCTGTTTTTTTTTCTCTTCACGATGCAAAAAAAAAAAAGTGTAGTTGAAAAATTACAATGTCAATTAGTCGTTGCCGCATTTTTAATGGAGTTCAAAAAGCGAAGCCG